CTCTGCCTTGATTTCCCTTCTCTTCTGACCTTGGTCTTCTGCTGGAACTGTCAATGTCAGAGGGAATGTTATGAACATTAGACCTTGACTTTGGATCTATTCTTTTGATGAGTTTGTTGAACTGTCTTCCAAGCATGGCTATAGCTTCTGAAATATTTTCTTCAACATCAGTGTTGGAAACAAGTGCTATGCTCTTGTTCTTCTTGTCACCATTTTCAGTGATCCACATCTCAAAAGTCTGAAGAGACCCAATAAGTTCATCCACTTTCAACTTGCTGATGTCCTGGGCTTCTTCTATGGCAGTTACCTTCATTGCAAATCTTTTAGGCAATAATCTGAGAATTTTTCTCACCAATTTTTCTTCTGCCATTTTTTCTCCCAGTGCTCCTGAGGTGTTGGCAATCTCCAAGATGTTCATGTGAAAGTCATGAATGGTTTCATCTTCCATCATTTTTAGATTCTCAAACTTGGTAGTCAACATCTGAAGCCTTGACATTTTTACTTTGGAAGTGCCCTCATGGGTAGTTTTGAGAGTGTCCCAAACTTCCTTGGCCAGTTCATATTGATGTACTAGTCTGAAAATGTTTCTATCAATTCCATTGAACAAGGCATTTAAGGCTTTGGAATTTCCCAGGGCTAACTCATCTTCTTCTTTACTCCAATCTTCCTCAGGCTTCAAACTGATTGTCCCATCTTTCTCAGTTATGGTGGGATGGATCCATCCTTTGTCAGCAGCTCTCCAAGCCTTTTTGTCCAGAGATTTTAAGAAGGCAATCATACGAGGTTTCCAGTAGTCATAATTTGTTCCATCCAGAATGGGTGGTCTATTTCCAAAAACTCCTTCTTTGTCCATAGTGCCAGAAAGTGATATCCCTAGATCTCACCCAGTAATACAGGCAGGGTGCCTGCTCTGATGCCAATTGAAATTCTGGCTGCAGATACTCAATGTCATGTTCAATGTTATGACACCGTATCTGACTTTCTATAAGACAGTAAATACAAAAACAGTAAAGAACACAGTCAATTGTTTACCCAGTTTAGTGTGCAACAACACCTACTCCGGGGGCTACCAAGCCAGGGAGGAAATCCACTATAAGAGATATTAATTCAGGAATAAACCAACCAGTTTATCTCCTTCACTTAAGACCTACCCAATGCAACTTCAATCTAAGTACAACTTAAACCTGAGTTCCTACTCACTCCCCCTCAATCACAGCAGTGATACATAAAATAATTTGACTAATGAATTGTTGAAGACACTCTTCAAAACATACACTTGATTATGCTTCACAACTTTTTAATCAAGCAACACAAACACTCTTGCTTCACAGCTTTGAGTGATACACAAACCTAACTTGACTTTGCTTCACAGCTTTAGTCAAGAGACATACAAACACTCTTGCTTCAAAGCTTTGAGTGTTACACAACCCTTACAATTAAAACCTATTCCAAGTCACTTATCACAATGATAATTGCTTGGATTACAATAGTAAAAACTATACAGCTTCTAAATGATCTTCTATCAAAAAGGGATACATTCCAAGACAGCAGCTCTGTTGAATATATAGCAGCTGCATCTTCAGTTAGGGTTTCCACAAAAAGCTAGGGTTAAATCCGTTTGACCTTAAGACTAGGTCACAGGACTAGATCAACCAGGTTGGGGTTGAGCTAGGTTAACCCAAAGAAAATGCAGGATTCTGTTCTGGAAAGACTGAGTCATTTTCCTGAAAAAACTCAGAATTTACCAAACTGCATACCTGTTAGTTCAGAACAGGATGTCTTAACATTTGTTATGACATCTGAATTACTGTTTACTGATTTTGGTAAATGTGATCATTTTGCAAAATGCTCAGATACACACTCATAAACATCAGTACCTGTATGACAATATTTTTCTGCAAAGGTACCTAATAAACTAGAATGTTACGACATCAGTCATGACATTCGTACACCTGGTTTTACCAAAAATGCATGCCAATACATAAACAACTACACTTTTTATTAATCAATTATTTTTATTAATTATCTTTATCATTATTGATTATTATTATTATTTTTGTACAAAAATATGTAAATTAATTAATTAGCTTAAATTAGGTTAACTTTAATATTTTCTTTAATAACTAAAAATAATTTAGAATTTGGGTTTCCTTTTAATTTTAATTTTTCTTTATTTCATTAAATACAAAAAAACATAAAAAACTTACTTTCCTTTCTTTAATTAAATAATTAATTAGGCTTTAATTTAATTTAATTTCAAGCAAAGGGTCCAACACCCTCGGACGTTCAGTTTCATTTTAATTCTTTTCGCGCATTATTTTCTTATTGATTATTATGTAACTATTCAAGGATGTAATAGTAATTAGGTTTACTGTTTTTTACTTTCCGCATTTTTATCAAAAACGGGTCTTTGTATTTTGGCGATGTATAGACCCGCGCCTTGTAATAGCGTAGCTTTTATCTTTCTGTATTTAATTTTGCGCACTCCTAACTGCTAAACTTGCATGGAAGAATGTATGGTAATTAAAAACAACGCGTAGCTCACAATGCCATGATCAAAGATAAAACATAACATGAAAACAACACACAATACACACACTACTTCTAGGGTACGCCTCACTCGTTGCCTTCGAAACGTGGTCGTCAAGTATAGGACGTTTTAGCGGTCGCTCTTATGTCCATGATCCAGTTGCCTCGAAACGGTTGCCTCGGATTAAAAAAGGATCTAGGATGTAAGGGTAGCTTATAAGGTGTCCTACTGTTGCTTCGGTGACCACACTGTCCCTACAATCGAATTGACCCGAACACGTCCAACGGTGGTGAAACAACCGGCTGAAAATCATCAAACAATGAAGTCGCCATCGAACGTTTTTTATCCCACATGTAGGGAAAGGTAAACATCGAGAAAACCTGATGAGGGAGAAGTCACGGTCTTGCGACCGAGAGATCGGGTAAGGGAGTCTGTTACGCGAGGGGAAGGTATTAGCACCCCACACGCCCGTAGTACTCTACGGTATCCACTCTTGTTATCTAACTTATGGGTGTGTTTAATCTATGCTTACTGTCTACTATACTACTGAAGGGAATGCATGCAAAAGAAAGGAGAAAAGAATGTAGGGAAAATAAAATTATGCTCGCCTGGGCCCTATCCCAATGCCTACGTATCCTTTTTGAGGAATCAGAGCTACCGTAGTTCGGCTCATATATTTTTGTTTGTTTGTGTTTTTTATGGACAATGTTAATTCCGCCTTCTGCCGCAGCTCGACCTTTGGAGAGTTATACGTTGGCACAGAAGTAAACTAATCATGTCCTCACCTGAAAAGGTTTTTTTAAGGAAAGGTGCTCGAGCGCACAAAAGATTTGAGTTGGTTTATATTTTGTTATAGATGTTTTATGTGGACGAAGTTAATTCCTCCTTCTGCCGCAGCTCGACGTTCGGAGACTTATGCGTTGGCACAGAAGTAAATTAATCATGTCCTTCCCTGAAAAGGGTTTTAAAGAATGGTGCTCGAGCGCACAAAAGATTTGAATGTGTTTTGTATTTTTGTTGCAGATAATGACTAGTCGACCTCAAGAGAGAGATATTAGCCATTTTTCTACTTAGTCATGAAAGGAGTCTTTGAGAATTGAACCACACCTATGCTTGAGATGAAGAACAATAAGATCGAGAAGAGACCCGCTTATCATTTCTCGTAGTAAGCAAAAGCATGATTCTCATCAATAGTTTTAAAGTGTTTTGAATTTTGAAAGAAAAGAAGTTTTAGTTTTAGGTGCGTATGTTCAAAGAGAAAGAAAAGTCAAATGGGACTAGCTTACTTCTAAACCTAATGTTATCGTGCGTTAGTAGCCCTAAGATTTAGGTTAAAGGGGAAATTTCTACCTGATGTTAGTATGCATATGGATTGCGATAAAGTACCGAAATGAAGGATAAAATAGGGTTGTGACGATACCGAACGGAGAAGGTCCGTTGCCTCTTCAAAATTGTGCAAGCGGTAAGAAAATTCTATCAAAGTTCCCTTGGGCAAGTGATTGAAGAATTCACCCCGAGCGTTCCACATTGCAAGAGTTATGTCGATGCTACAAAAATCTTGACTAGAAAATGGCAATAAAATGATTATCGAATATGAAAAATAAAATAGAAAAAATTCTAATCGAAATTCTAAAGAATTCTAAAATATTCTATTATTTTTATTATCAATTGAGAGGAAAAAAATTAAACTAAAAGAACAAACTAAAATAATAAAAGAAAAGAAAAAATTAGAAGAGTTAGGGGGTATGAAGTCTAGAAATATGGGTGCTGAAGTAATTTGCCCAAAAAGATTTTCAACATTTTATTTATTATTTACTTAGTTATTATTATTATTAATTTGAAATAAAAATATAAAATAGTAAAACAGTTAAACTAAATGGAAAAAAAAAGAGTATATGAAATTGGAAAGGGATTAGGGTTGAAGGATAGAGTTGTTCTTCTTCTTCCACGTAGAGCTGCGCGAATGGCGCCGCCCCCTTTTCGCCGTCCTCTTCTTCTTCCGTTCGCCGTCTCAGTTTGAAGCTCAAGCTCCGTTTTGTTCCTCGGCTGTTGTGCCATAAACGGTGATCTCATTCCGCTCTCGTCTCTCCGATTCCCGATTCCATCTCCGTCGCGGAACGCTTCCGATTCCCTTTCCGCCGCGCCGGTAATTGCCTCTGACGGCGGCAAACCCCGATCCCAGCCACGATTCTTTCAGGTAACGATCTCTTTTCTTCTCCTCGTTCTTGCTTCTTCTTCTTTTGTTATCCATTTCTTTTCTTCATCTACTTCTCGCTTCTGTATGTGTTGTTGTTGCGTGTATGACAGTGGTTGTTGTGAGGTGCAAGGTACATGAATCAATGACAAAGACGCGAGATTACCGAACCTCTAGTTAGAAATCGCAAGCATTCAGCTAAGCATTCAAACGGTTAATCATGTGAAACGATTCACAGCAAAGAGAGCTAGTGAAACGATGCGCATCAGCTAAACAATGATGTTGAAAGAAAAACAAGATAAAGATTCTGAACTTCAAGTACGCATCCCTTTCAATCCTTGCTCATTCTTCTCCTGCTTTTCTCCTCCATTCTTTTGCCTTCGTGATTTGAACCAGACATAGTATGTATACTGCAGTTCCTATGGAAAGCACGTGTATTTGCAGAACTGGAAGGAGAGGGAAGATTCATAGGAAAATATTAAGGTGAGGTTGAAGGGGTTATGGATTATAGATAGTATGTAAGGCTGAAGAGGGATAGAGAGAATCTGAAGATGTTGATTTAGGATTTTGGTGAATGAAAAAAAAAATGATGAAGGATGCAGATGAAGATTAGAGGAGAAGATAAAATTTATGTAGTTCTTTTTGGATGTGATTCTTCTGCAAGTTCCAAAATGAGATGATTGAGAGGTAATAATTTCCTTTTTTCTGTGTTGAATTCCTATCCCCCCTATTATGTCCATCTCATTATGTATATATGCTGGAAGTTTGTTGGAATGTTAAATTAGCTGGTTTGGATCTGGTTAGAAAGTTAAGAAAAGTTGTTAGGTTATAGTTATAGAGGTTGGGATTACTGAGATATGGTTTTGGATATTTGTTAGTTATGCTGTAACTATTCTGTTTTGCAGTTAGTTCGTGAATTGAGATATGGTTTAGGATAGGAAGTTTGTTAGGAAATGTTTTATGAAAAAAAATTATGTTTTTGCCTTTCATTATGCAGGTCCTTTTTGTTAAGCTGGGATTCAATTACAGGGTGGTTTTGAAAATGGTTGGGAGGTTTAGAAATTGTTAAATGGTTGTTGTTATTTTCTGTTGCAAGTTAGGGTACTAGCGGTAGTGTAGGCGGTTCATGCTTATGACAGTTTATCCAATATTTTTGCAGGTTTGGTTCATATCAAGGCTATTGGGAAGCAAAGGCAAAAGGAAAACACCAAGATGACATGGAGTTGGAACAAAGACGCATAACACGAAGTTTTGGAAGCTTGAAGTTTGAAACATGAAGAATGGTTGAAAATTAGGATAGGTTTTGGTAAAAATCTATAGATGTTATGTATAATTGTAATGGAATTTGGACTCGTATGTATTTGAATACACATTGGAATGTATGTTGACTTTATTTCCACATAATGAAATGGCCTTTGTATGAATTCAAATAAATGGTATGAATCAAAAATATTTGCAAGGTACCCAAAAGAGACATGAATCTTGAATGAATCCAAGAGAGGCTATTTGGACAATATTTTGATGGTTGGATGAATTTGATGCATGCTTTTTCATACTTGTGGTTTGAATTCCAAGAAAAGCCACGCAAATATTTAAGAACTTTGATTCACTACAAATCCTATTCAAATCTTAATGAACGAGTTTCGATCAAATTACAACCTCAATGAATCCCTAATTCAATTCAATTCCTTAGTATAAACCAAACTTGTGTGTCAAGCAACAAGCATTTGAAATAATGACACCTTGATCACAATCAACATCTTATACCATGTCCCGACTATATGAGCACTAGAACAACTACGTCTTGGACCCCTTCTTAATAGATGATAATGACTATGCCCTGAGGGATTCTTTGCAGATGAATATGAAAGATGAGACATGCGAATACCTTGATATGGAATGAACCTCAGGTAGAATGCTGACAAGCTCAAGTACGAAAATGTATAAACCCTGATTTTTAGCTTCGTCTCATAAAACCTTGCAACTTGACATTGAGAAGAAAAGAATAGCCTCGTAGCTTGATGATGATAAGGTCCATGAAATGAAAACCTGGCTTCAAACAAATTATTAATGGAGAAATCAACCGAAACAAGCTTGTGCGAAGATGGGAGCCTTAAAGCCATACACCAACCCTTATTCCTCGAAATCCATGATCTTATGCCAATTTATCAATTAATGATGCATGATGTGTTAGATGACCTAATGTGAGAAAAATGCAAAAATGCGTAAGCCAGATAGGAAGTAAAAGGGTAGGACAAATTTGGGGTATTACAGGTGGTGCTACCTACCTCTCAATGGTGAGATGGCACTACCTTAAGGACTTTTACACAACCTAATTCCTTAGGGTAGGTAGATGACTCATGGATACTTGCTCTCTTCAAAAACAAACAAAAATCTTTTCACACTGACACTTTCAAAAACTTTCAAAATAAATTTTTCAAACACTCTTGAGGACAGATACAAGAGTTATTCAGAAATCTTTCAATGAAACTTTTTAAAACCCACTCACATTTTGAAAAGCAAACATTTTGAAAACATAAGAGCAAGTATCTAAGAGCCCATGGATAACCATGGATAGAAAGGGTGCTAACACCTTCCCTTTCTATAAATCTACCTCCCGAACCGAGAAACGTTCTCATAAGGAATTTTGCTGTGCTTTTGTCCTGTCCATGTTGGAGAAAATAAAAGACGGTGGCGACTCTTGCTTACCGCGACATTTCGCGAACCAGCTTTAAACAGTCAGTTCTATTTCCACCGATCATAGAACTGGAGACTCTGCTGGGGACACTCATAAGTGAGGTGTGCCTTAGGATAGCTCATACTTGTGTTTTCAATTGTTGTGTTTTGTTTGCTTTATTATTATGGGCATTGTCTTGGAGTTTCATAGATCCTAACCCGGATCTGGGAATACCCTGTTAGGTAGCATAAGCTGTGAAGGACATGTCCGGCGTAGACCGACACGGGTGAAATAGTGGCTACGTTGGTGTGGCACCTTGGTCTGTACCGATATCCCTTGTGTCGCAACGAGGAGAATATGGGTCTTCTGAGGAGTCATTAAGCACCAACCGAACTTAGAACCTTAAATGACCCAACTTGGCCAATAGAACAGTAGCAGTATGCTACACCCATTGAGGCTAAACTCTCGCGATGGTTCTGGCTGCAAGAAAAGATTGCGATGCTGGAGTTATGACCGATTGAGGGTAGTCAGTGATATTGGGATCCTCTAGAACCCGGTTACTTTTGATAGGACAGGTCTTAACCAACAAACTGAAAGAGGGTAATACCTAGACCCCATGCTGGCCTAAACCCTAAGGGCTGTCTTGTGTGACTTGTGTGCCTTATCATGTTTGCCGTTGTGAATATTTCTGGTGTGCTTTATCATGACATCATACCATCATAGACATTGCATGCATCCTACATAAGGACTGACCCATTTCAAAGACAAGAGGGTTTCACCTTTGCTCTGTTTTGTAGGACATCATGATGCCTGTGCGAAGGAACACTATCCGGTTCAATTTTGTTCACCCACCTGAGTTGCTTGAAGAATTGGTTAGAAGAATTCCAAACACCACTTCCTTCATCTAGAGGCATGGTTCTCTTCTCGGTTTAGTCACTTCAAAATGGGACCAACAGCTGATGAGCGTCCTGACCCAGTTTTATGACCCCTTGTATAACTGCTTCACCTTTCAAGACTTCCAGCTGGTCCCTACCCTGGAAGAATTCTCTGATTTGCTTGTCATCCCTATCTTGGATCAGACTCCCTTCACTGGTTGGGAAAAGACTCTTAGGCTTGAGGAGATTGCTGCAGCCCTCCCTTTGACCCACAAAGAGGTAATGGACAACTGGGTGACCAGAAGCAGAGTTAAGGGTTTCTTGGCCAAGTTTCTGATTGGTAAAGCTAACAGTTTCTGGAATGACTTAGACTTCAGGGCGTATGAAGACATCCTGGCTCTCTTAATCTATGGTCTGGTTCTGTTTCCAAATCCGGATAACTTCATTAACATCACTGCCATAAGGATCTTCGTGTCTCGGAACCCTGTGCCCACTCTCTTGGGTGATATCCTGCAACAACTCTATGCTCGTACTGCCCGAAGACGAGGTACTCTGTGGTGTTGTATTCCTTTGTTAGTGAGGTGGTTTATTTCGCACCTCCCTAAGTTCGTGCTGAAGAATAAAGAAGCAAGAGGCTGGGCTCATAGGTTAATGTCTCTCACTGATAATGACATCATTTGGACTTTCAGGGGTTTGGATGAGGTAGCTGTCATTGATCGTTGCGGAGAATATCCTAATGTTCCTTTGATTGGTACCCAAGGAGGAATCTCTTATAATCCATGTCTAGCTCTCCGTCAGTTTGGAAGAGCCAGAAGAGCAGGGCCTCATGAGATGTTGGTGCCTCACATCAGTTTTGAGTTTCAGGTAGATAGTGACGAGATGCGTCGTAGGTTCATCAAGGCTTGGGACAGAATTCACAAAGCTGACCCACATGAGTTGGGACCGAAGACTTCTCTACCTATGGAACCCTACTACATATGGGTCCGCATCCGTGCTCAGAATTTAGGTATGCCATATGAAGTTGTCAGACCCATCATTCTTGAGTATCTTGATAGAGATGGGGCTCCTCCAATTGTTCTCCCTCCTCAGATACCTATTGATGTTGATACACTAAAGAGGTCTTGGGTGCAACTACGAGAAGAACGGGATTCTTATCGGGAAAAGTTCAACGAGCAGGAATTGAAGATCCAGAAGCTGACAAAGCAGTTGGAGAACGAGCGGGCCTTGAATGACTACATCCGTACTGAGAAGAGGAGACCCTGGGATCACTGATGAGCTCTGAATGTTCTTTTACAGTTTTTATTTCCCTTTTCAGTAGTTCCATTTTATGTAACGCCTAAGGGCAATCTGTTGAACAATTTAAATTCCAAAGTTTAAATCTAATGAAGTGTGTTCCTTTTTGTTTACAAAGTTGAATCCCGATTGTCTTTGAAAACATAAATCATACGCATTCCATTCATCATGTGCATCACAGGTACTCTTCTTTTCAGGTTGCTTAATGTTCTTCGCTGTTTATTTTAGCACGCCATCATGAATCCTGAATCATCTACCGAGCAATCCATCAAGGCCCTCCAGGATCAGAACGCCCAGTTCCAAGAGTTGATCATGAGTTTAGCCCAAGGTCAAGAGGAATTGAAGGCTCTGCTGGTCAAGAAGAAGAAGAAGAGAACTGTACTATTAAACACTGGCCGGAGGTTTGGCAACGCACTGCAAAATGAGGCTGACCAAGCTGGTTCTTCTGTAGGGAAAGGCAGTCCCCAAGGGGGAAGGGTTCCTAGTCCTGTGGTCTCTGACAACGAGACTGATTTCAATGAGGAGCAGTACCCTCCAGCTGAAGACAAGTACAAGCAGTTAGAGGATCGTCTGAATGCCATGGAAATTCAACAGGTGCCTGGGTTGGATTTTGGAGATCTGGGTCTATCTTCTGGTGTGGTGATCCCACACAAGTTCAAAGCACCATCTTTCGCAAAGTATGACGGGGCGTCCTGCCCTAAGCTACATCTCAGATCTTATGTGCAGAAGATCCAACCATACACTGTGGACAAGAACTTATGGATCCATTTCTTCCAAGAGAGTCTTTCAGGGACTCATCTCGAATGGTTCTATCAGCTGAATGGAACCAAGGTTCGTAACTGGGAGGACTTGGCTACTGCTTTTTATAAGCAGTATCAGTACAATGCCGACCTCGCTCCTACACGTACCCAACTCCAGGGTATGTCGCTAGGATCGGGAGAAGGTTTTAAAGAGTACACGCAGAAGTGGAGGGACCTGGCTGGCAGGGTGCAGCCACCGTTAACCGACCGTGAACTCGTGGACATGTTCTTGGGGACCCTATCTGGGCCGTTCTTCAATCATCTCATTGGCAATTCATCTGCAGGGTTTACAGACCTCATTCTGACTGGTGAAAGGATAGAAGCTGGGATGAAATCAGGGAAGATACAGAAAGGTGCATCCTCAAGTTCTGAGAAGAAGCCTTTCAAGAAGGAGGCCAGTGCTGTGTATGGCCCCAGGAGGCAAAACAAACCGGAACGCTGCCAAGCTGTCAACGCGGTGGTGATTGCAAAGCCTGCTGCCGCTCCTCGGCAACCTAACCAACCAAGGGGTGAGAGACCCAGAAGAGAATATACTCGGCTTAGTATGACCTTGTCGCAGACCTTGCCGCAACTGTTATCGACCAACTTGGTAAGCGTCAGAGAAGCTCCAAAGGTGGTAAACACAACCTCCC